GTGATTGTTCACAGCTGAGCCCACCTTTTGTCAAGAAATTAAATTAAAAAGCAATACAACACAAGAAATGCTAATGCTCAGTACCTTTGAGCAAGTCGTACATGAAGTTTTCAATAAAAATGGTGGGTTCCATCTTTTTTTTTTTACTTTATTGAAAACTGTAAAATTCTTAAAGGAGCTTATAGGTATAGAAAGATTATTAGCAAACTGACTCAATTGTGTTTAACAGTTGGCTAGCATAGCCACCCTAAGCTCCTGGTCTAAAGCCTGTTAGTGTACTGACATTGGTAAAGCAAGGATTTGTTTTATTGATCAGGAGTTTCATTTATAAATTGTAGGAGGAACATTGTAAACATGTCACTTTGATCTACATTAACCCATCTTCAGTGCTGGTTTAAGAAGAGCACATACCTCCTGATATAAGCGTGTTTATCTCCATTCTTTATTAGCAGCATAGAACACCTTTCATTAGGATTTAACAATGCAACAGGAGGAGACAGGCCCACAGCGCTGCGTCTCAACCTGCAGCCAAAACTGCACACAGGCCCAGTCAAGTACAGATGAAGATCTGCTTTAAAAACGGGGCGGACAAAATATGATTATACATTTTTAAAAGAGTGACAAAGTATTTATCTGCTTAGCTTGTGGAATTTGTTATGGTTTCAACACAATCACATTGATGCACAGTGAAATGTATCTTGTTTAAACACGAGTGAAAATGCACTCAAGCTGCCTCTACACATAAGAACGTCCTCACAGAAGTCGGGATTAGAGATGAGATCAATTAAAGAATGTTCTATAATCACAACAAACCATATGCAAATCACAACCAGAGTTTATCGCGACATTATGAAGAATAATGGGGGAACTCAGTCGGTTTCACCAGTGCTACCTTCAGGGTCTCTGTCCTCATTAAGTCCAAAATCACTAATTACAATTAATTAGCTGATATTACAATTGTGTTATGATTTGAAATATTGGAGGGATTGATCACTTTTTAAACATTATTCACATTATCCTTGAAAATACAATAAAATGACCATGGTTTGATTTTTTAGGAGGATCTGTACCAAACAAGGATTTTTTTATTAAGTCTGTGTAGATTACAGTTGATTGGCCGGATCACAACAATTCTTCATCCAGATATTTACACATTTTGCCATATTGCAATTATGGTATTTCACTAATTTCACTAATTATGGTATAATCACTCAATTGAAATAATTGTGGAGCCCTATAGCTAACTAAAGTAGATGGCATCCTGTCACTGTAACTGCTCCCTGCAGACTCCATGTGACGTCTCTCTGGATTTGTTTTTATTTATCAGTTATAATGTGTCTGCTGCCGGTGCCAGATCATGAGGGGTTTTGTCAAAACTGCAGAGAGAGATGACCTTTTGGGGGGAGTTTCATTACAGTGCACAGTGAACTGCAGTCTGTGTTGGACTGTGAGAAAGTTTACTGCAGCATGTTGACATCATCTAACTTCACAGCCTGCTGAGGGACCATTTCACATAATAACCCTCATCTCAGGGATGATAATGACACGGGCGGGTGCTGCGTTTAAAGCAGACTTAACACTACAATTGCCAAATAACAGCAATTGTTGGGGCAATCCTCCAACATTTAGGTGATGATTGATTGATTTAGATGGTGAGTGGATTAGTCAATCAATAGAAAATGTATCGTCAACCATTTTGATATCAGACTCAAACAAAACTTCAAATAGTGCTTTGATGAGCATATGAAGATCAATATGAAGGTAGAGACAGGAGACAGCTTAGCTTAGCATCAGAGCCGCAATGATCAGTCAACAAATAAATTATCGATAATAAATGGTTAGATTAATCGTTCATGCAAAAAACTACTTTTTCCTGCTCTCACATACGGAGATTTGAAACTTTTTGTCATTTTATTATATATTAAAGTGAAAATCTTTGGGTTGGGCTGATAGAACAAGACATCTAAAGCACCTTAGACTTTGAGAAACTGGGATGGAAATCACTTTTTTTATATATTTTACAGACATTACCAATCATTTATAAATGAAAATAATCAATACATCAATCAATAATGATTATAATTGGCATAAAGAAAAGAATGTGGGCAACACCTAGCTTGGCTATTCTTAGCATTTTTGTCATGCAAGCAAAAGATAAGTGAAAAGAGAACAGAAACGAGGTGTGGCCAGCATGGTCCAAAAAGGGCAGAACATTTTAAAGTAAAGTGGTGAAAGATCACAGAAAAGAGCTGAGAGCAGAGAAAAAGGGAGGGACCTCATGCTTCATGCTGAGCAGTGATGGCAGAAGGGTCATTTGTGGTGAAGGTTGCTGCTGGGTGTGCCCACTTTCTGCACTGAAAAGAGGAAGTAGAAGAAGAGAGCGCACTCCCCTCTCATCTTCAGATTAAATGAGTCAACAGGAGCAGGATGAGGGTGAGTCAGCTGCAGGAGGGGCAGACAGCAGACTCATGGTGCCTGGTACTGTACCATGAATAATAAGAACCTCTGCTGATGGTGTGATCTGTCCTCAGCTGCTCAACCCCTGTCTGCTCTGATGGAGTTTGGGGAAGGTATGGGTCCATAAGGAAAATGTATGTCACTATTACCCTGACCAAAATATTTGCGATGTACATGATATTATCCCTATAATTATAAAAAATATGTTAAATAAGCTACTTATAAACCATAACTTCCCCCAGTATTGTACCAAGTGAGGATATTCACAATGTCCCCGATAACAGGATCATTTAGTTTATTTCAGGCCTCAAACCAAAAACTTGTTCAAACTCTTCAGGAGTCATTCCTTCACCTCTCTATAAAGAGTGTTTTTTTGTAAACCACGATAAAACCCTATCCTAAATTCTGGGAATCTTGATATGGTGCAGACAGTGCCATGTCTTCACCTGTTTGCTGCAGCAGGAAGCAACAACATGTGTGAGAAAATAATCCAGTGAGCCACACATTCCCCCAGCAGGCGATGACAGGGACACACTCATGTCTGACTGGCACCCAGTCACTCACCTCTTCTGGCCCTACAATCACAGTCTCTGCTGATGAAGGTTTAAAAAGAAGACTGCCTTTACTACTGTACTGTGTCTCGATGTGTGTATTTCTGTACATTCACTATTTTGACTGTTTAAGTGCGTCCCAATTTGAAGTAGGGCTAAATAGATTAGGAGTACTCAGACGGTGCACTCATAGCGATACAGAAGTAAAATGTTGAACGCTGGCCACTTCACACACTCAACGATCGCCATTTTGGCTAACGGAAGTTACAAGACCAGCGGCCATTACAGTTTCGGTGGTTAGCACTACACAAATTAAAGTTATATATTTGTTTTTTTTTGTATTTGATAAATGTACCACTACACTAGTGTCTTATTTTCATTTGGTTAATTGAACAATCTTTAAGGATTTTCTAACACGAACGATAATGTTGCTAGTTAGCTAACAGCAGCAATAGTCACTAGTGGAGCACGCTCAGGTACCGCGGAGCGCATAAAGCTTAGCAGACTCTTCACGCTAACGAAGGATCACTTCTTCTTCAGGGCAGGGCATGATGAATTGGAAATGGGGGACCCTGATGTAAACAAGACGAAAGTCTTTCTCTGGTCTGCATCCCCTTAACAATTGTATGTTTTGAGCTGTACTGTACTGTACCCAATATACAAGCTGTTAATAAACTTTTCAATCAATCAATCAATCAATCAGGGAAGGCTACGCAGTACGCAGGCTACTGCCCATTTCTCATGAGACGATGTAAAAAAAAAATTAGTGGGGGGCGAACGCACTAACCACTACCGCCAACGCCACAGTCATCCCCGCCATGCGGGCCGGATGAGAATGTCTGGCGGGCCGGATGTGGCCCGTGGGCCGTCAGTTGATGGTCACTGCCATAAACTGAAGGTGAGTCAGCATTAGCGGCAGTCAAGCAGCGTGTTAGCAATGCCAATTTTATACGTGAAACTGCTTTATTCAGTGTTTTCACTGGTTTTAATCAAAGGATCCGTTTGATTTGTAGAGGATGAGACCTCTGAGGTTACTGGTGAAAAATACATCTGACATGATGCCACACTTCTTGTTCACAATGCCACTTTTGGTATTGGTATTTGGTATTGGCATTACTGACACTCTGGCAAAAATCACATTGTGAGTTTGATACAACATTTGGGACTAAATCCATCAAAGAGCCAAGAGAGCCACTGCAAGACGAGATCTGTTCTGTTCTGTTAGAGAAAAGGCTATATCTAAATCTCTTCGTTTTTTAGCAGCTCAGCAGAACAATACTTTATTTCACGGTCAGTCTAGTAAACAGCTGCAGAGTCACATTGCTGTGAGCAGGTATGCAGCTGCATGTAGGCAAAGCCCATTAAACTCAGAGTCACTGTGTGAGCCAAGTCCTGCTAAAGCTGGAGACCCAGCCAGCCACAGCCCACTGCACGACATGAGCACAAACAATAGCCCTGTGTGTGTGTGTGTGTGTGTGTGTGTGTGTGTGTGTGTGTGTGTGTGTGTGTGTGTGTGTGTGTGTGTGTGTGTGTGTGTGTGTGTGTGTGCAGAATCAGCTCTCATATCCTACTAGGCCTGAATTACATCCTGGCCCACACGGTTTGGCTCGGCCCCGGCCCAGGCAGCAGGGAGCACAGAGAGCCCGGGGCCCCTCAGCAGACCCCCTCCTCCCAAAACGAGCCACCTCAAAAGTGGACAGCCGAGACAAAAGCACCAGAGAAACGCCTGCTCTGATCGACCTCCCTGTACAAAAGTGGACTTTCTTTACTAAGACACATTTTTCTTCTCTTTTTGTTCTGGGCAGCAACATAGGCTACTCAACCGTAGTCTCCCTGCAGGCATGCATTCACTTCTTTCCATTATAACCATCCATTTGAAGTCCTACTTAGCGGTTGCTTAGCACCACTAACTCCTTAAAGATACACATAGGCATAGTGGAGAGGAGACACCTGATGGAGGTGCAGAGGACAACACTCATTTATTGCACTCACCTATGGACACCAGCTTTATGTTCTCCTTGTCCAGGAACTCCAGCGCCACCGACACGTTCTCCAGCTGCATCTGGCGGAAAGTGGGCCTCTGGTTGTACTTTCTGAACATCTTCTTCTGGGACAGGACCTCCAGGAGCCCGATGAGCCGCAGCCCGTCGCCCAGGTCCGTCTGCAGGTTCCCGAGCCTCTTGTTGACGCATTTTAGGTGCTCGTTACACCAGCGCGTGAAGGTGTTCTGCTGGATCTTCTTCCACGGCGCGTCCTCGGCCAGGTCCTTCTCCGTGGCGGGCATTTCTGCGTCCTTGTCCGGGGAGACAGCGTTGGGAGCGGGCGCGGCGCTCTGGTGGAGCCGGGGGTGTGCACCACTCATTTTTATGGGCTCGGCTGGCTCTTGGTTCGCTGGCTGGGCTCTGGGTGGAGTCTGGTCTGCTCTGGGTGGCCGCTCCCTCTCTCTCTCACTTTCTGCTGTCTGTGTCTGAGGGGAAGAAAGAGAAAGAAAGGAGTGAACTCAGAGAGGGACTTATAGCCCGCAGATAGAGATTCTGCTCAGAAAGGAGGCGGTTATTGCAGCAGAAAGGGAGGCATTTCGGGAGAAATGTGATCTGCTCGCACACGGGGGATGTTACACTTTTTATGTCCCACTTTAAGGAAATGGACTCACATTCAAACTAATCTTAAACATGGCAGTCTTTACTTGGTACGACAGAGGGAAGAGAACAAACAGCATACTCCTCACCACCATTTATAATTAAAAAACAACATGTGCAATATGTGAAATACAAATACTTAGTAAAGTTTCTGTTTATCTTCCAGAAGCAGTGAAATATCCTGATCTACTTTTACTCCATTGCATTTCTTTAATACCTTTAGTTACTTCACAGATCTGGATGAATGATGTGAAATATTATCAAGTGTTAAATCAGACTTTAGTTCCACCTGGAGTAAATTCACAAGCTACCCTGCAGTATACAAAGTACTTCAAACTAGCTGCACCTTTACCAGCTTTGAGAACGATGATTTGAATGCAGTACTTTTACTTGTAACAGAGTGTTCCTACACTCTGGTACTTCTACTTGTAGCTACTTAAGTACAAGATCTGAGTACTTTTTCCGCCTCTGCTGGCTCCTGTGTGTTCCCGTCATGCATCACGCTGTACTCATATTGTATCAGCTATCTAAGTAAAATTAGCAATGCTAAACTGTCAAAATTCTCTATTAGAAGTAACAGTCTTGGATTCAAAATATAAGTAAAAGTACAAATGTATTGGCATCAAAATATAATGAAGTACTACAAGTATTTGGTAGACATAAAGGCATTTCAGAATCATGTATTAAATTACTGAATTGTGACTTTTGATGCATGGTAAAGGTGGAGCTAATTTGAAATACCCTATATAGGCCTACTTAAAGCTGATTATAATCAGCTTTCATGTTTTAGCTGATTTATATTTTTGTACTAATAATCTAAATCTGCAAAGTAGTAACTTAATGTAAGTGTAAGGGAGTAAAAAGTATAAAATGTTGTAGAGTAGGCAGGTATAAAGCAGCATAAAATGAAAATACTCAAGTAAAGTACATACAAATTCTTCGTAAGTAAAAGTACTTGAGTACCATTTAGAGAAAATTACATTCCACCCCCCGCAGTGGCGGTTCTAGACCAATTTGAGTGGGGGGGCCAGGCTGGGGCCAGTTATTTTCTGAGGGGGGCACAATAAATGCAGGACGAAAAAGACAAAGGCAGTATGAAGTAATTACGCATAAGAAAACAATGCAATACAGTTATTGGTATTTGTTTCAGTACACATATGTATTTCAGATACTTATAGTTACAGTTTTTACGCTCTAATGCAGGGGTCTCCAGCCTTTTTTAGGATGAGAGCTACTTTCAAAAAAATAAAACAAGTCGTGAGCTACTTTGTTTTGTTTTTTGCAGTGTATATATTTAGCACATTTTAACATTATTATATGCTGACCTTTAACCTTTGTGTGCTGTTTGGGTCTGTGGGACCCGTTTTCAGTGTTTACTAAAAGAACATGTATGCAATCTAATTATCTTAACCTGCTTTATTTGGGGGTGGACCTCACATCCTCTAGGGGGGTCCGGGGGCATGCACCCCCAAGAAGATTTTTCTTTAAATGTTGAAGTGAAATGCATCAATCTGGTGCACTTTGAGCACAACATGAATTTATGGATACAGCTCTCAACACTGAAAGGGAGCTGTATACTTTTCAATAATCCAAACATCTTTAGAATATGATCACAACCAATAACAAATCATTTAAACTTGTTTATTCTTATCTTATGTTACCTACTTAGCATTCTTTCTTTTTATCTATGCATATTTTACTAATCCCTCCCCTTTTAAACAGTTGCAAGAACGTGATTGGTCGATATTCATTGTGGGGGGAGAAGGGGTGTTAGATAGATATAGAGTTGAAGTAAGTAGATGGAGTTCGCTATGATTGAGGTTTCGTTAATGCATAGGGTAGATTCTTTTAATTACATTTCCTTTTAAAAAAAATATTGTTTACATTTTGGATTTGCTTGGCGAGCTACTTATTGAGGGCTTGCGAGCTACCGGTAGATCGCGATCGACGTGTTGGAGACCCCTGCTCTATGGGTCCGAGTAGATTGACAAATAGCGTTAGTTACGCCTATTCCGTAAACCAAGAAATCGTTTAATCCTAAACTGTTTTTGTTTTGTTTTTTTCATTTTCAAGGGGGCCACAGTCCAAAGTCATTGTTGGTGTGGGCACTGCCCCCCCCCCTAGAACCGCCCCTGCACCCCGCCTGTGATGAGCTCATCATATGTCCCAGGAGACAGAAAACACATATTTGAGAAACCCAGAGGGATAAAAGAGACGTCACAGAGTTATGCTTGTTTTCTCCTTTTTTGTGCACATAGATTTTTCTTTTCAGTTTGTCACAAAGTACAGAAAGAAGCTCTGAGTTGGCAAACATTTGATTCCAGATGCTTTGCACATGTTTACACTGTCAACAGAAAGGCCCTGAGATAATAGGAGAGGGACTCAGCCAACTTTGAACGTTATGATCAGTTTATTATGTGAACACAGTTATATGTTCTCTTCTGTGGCTCTGCAGGGGGCTTAGAGTCTGAAGGGGTGCTTTCATGTTTCGCCATTTCCCACATTTGGACTGTTTGTATTTGCCCAGTCAATGTACAAACATTAGCTTTTCGCCTGCCAGCAACATACATGTGTGTGTGTGTGTGTGTGTGTGTGTGTGTGTGTGTGTGTGTGTGTGTGTGTGTGTGTGTGTGTGTGTGTGTGTGTGTGGTGTGTGTGTGTGTGTGTGTGTGTGTGTGTGTGTGTGTGTGTGTGTGTGTGTGTGTGTGTGTGTGTGTGTGTGTGTGTGTGTGTGTGTGTGTGTGTGTGTGTGTGTGTGTGTGTGTGTGTGTGTGTGTGTGTGTGTGTGCAATACTAAATTAGTGGAGTGCCCCATTAACATGACTCACTCATGTATTATTTATAAAATTGAATTTTTTAACAACACACAAAACTGTAATGTCTTTCAAATCATTTTCCTTCTGGGAGTAACATGGTCTATAAAGACAGAGAGAGATGGACTCTGCAGCTTTTTGACTAAACAAGGAGTGCCCGGATCCTGAGTGTCTGGTCAAGGGAGAATCTTAAGAATCCCACTCTCCCCAATAACAACCCTGGGTCCCCAGCTTTAATTACAATCCAATAAAAGATAAAAGAGCCTTATTCTTGTACACACACACACACACACACACACACACACACACACACACACACACACACACACACACACACACACACACACACACACACACACACACACACACACACACACACACACACACACACACACACACACACACACACACACACACAGCTTGCTTTTACACCATTACAAATAATAAAACAATAGATTTCTATAATTCGGTCCCTCTGGTGCATCATTTCCATTCATTATATATCGATAGCAACAAGAGTTTACAGGCGTTGGCCATCATTAAAATAGAAAGCATATGATGGGGAGTGTGGCAGAGCAGGAAAGCAGGGCAGATTCATTGAACAGGAGAAAGGAGGCATGTGGACACAGAAAACAAAAAGACACAATGAAAGAGAAATGTTTTGACCACTAAAGCAATACAGTTCTGACTGTAAGTGAGTAAGGGCTGAGAGAAAGTGGTGACATCTTCGATCCGGAGTGGGCTATTGTTTCAATGGAATTTACGAAATAAACAGGAGACGGAGCGGGTGGGGACACATGACGTCTCGGGGTCTGAAGATCTAACGCACCTCTCTGCTTACCATCTGGCTCCCTCTGCTGATCCTTTGTGGTGCTACAGTTCCCAGTTTTGTTCTTAGAATAACACCTTTTATTTCCCCTCACACGCTTCTCATGTCACACCTTTACTTTCTAAATGCATCCACTATTGTCTCTCACTGTCACCTGTAATCTGGACGCATTCTTGGACTTTTCAAACACCTAATTAGTGTTTTGCAAAATATCACCAATATGATTATTTCCTTTCCTATTTGGGCATCCCAGTGGGCTAGTGGTTAAGACACATAGCATATTACCTTAATTCCATACATTGCCTAGAATGTGTCCTTAAACTCCTTCTGTAACCAACAGATTCTGCGGAAAGCAGAGAGCATTCTGGCCTCTCCAGGTCATGTTCTCTCACATGAATTTCGTCTGTTGCCATCAGGGTGAAGATATGCTCTACCTGCTCTAAAGACTAATCACTTTTCAAAATCATTCATCCCTTCTGCACTCAAACTTTTAAATTCTTGAAAGGCTTTTAACTTGATTATTTATTTATTATTGTGATGCTATGAACTATTAATAGTGTAAATTGGAATGATCTACATCTCTGCTCCCGGGTGTATCTTTGTGTTTTCTTCCTGTAGTTCCTGCCTGTGTACATGACATAAACTGCTGCTCATAACCAATTGCCCCTTGAGGGATTAATAAAGTTGTTGATTGATTGATTGATTATATATACAGTATATATAATAAACGCTTCTTTACACCACTGAGGAACTTTTATTTGACTTGCATTGTACTTTTTCCACTACTACACTATATATAATTACCTGATTGATTATTGTACTTATTAGGTGCTTTACCATTCAACTCAGTATCATATACAGTTCTTAATCAACTGCACATTGACACATTGCAACATATTTATCGAACAATATCCAATAGAACAATTGAATGAAGTAGTCTGAAAGGACACATTTCGAGTACATTTTTCTGATCATCCACAGGGCTTTTAATTTGAAAAGGATACAAGGCATATTGAGTTTGTATGTTTATTTTGGAAGAGCAACAGCCAATGGGAACACTCCAACACCAATAGTGGGACTT